ACCGCTTCGTTGGTGTTAATGCTCTCCATCTTTGGGGTGACAACAAGTGATCAGTCAGTGGTGAATGTGTTGAAGACAAGTGATTCAAATGAGTGGTAATACAGTAATGAATGAAATGATAGTTTGTGTCACACTTTCAATGTTTCAGTGTTTGAGCGCTCAGTCGGACAATACATTCAAGACATGCAATACATTGGGAGAGAGAGACAGAGAGTGATGGGAGAGGCTATGGGAGAGTGCAGTGAATGCAGGCATGTGAGCGCAACTGCAATACAACTCACACTTCACTCATCACTCAATCGTGAGATTCATTGAAAAGAGCGCTAAAACTTGCATTCATTTGATGGCAAAGTCCACTATTTATGCAATAGTGGCACACAATTAGTGCCCATATCTACCATTCATTTCTATAATCTGTCTCTAAATTACAATTTGCAAAACACACCATCACTTCCTAATTACATAGTTGAACACAAAGTTAAACACTGTTAGGGAATCCAACATGTATTACTATATGCACATTGTCATGATGTAAGCTTACAAACTTATTGGCATTTCATATGATATGACCTAGCTTCACATGAATCGTGGTCATCAATTTGCTATTAACCAGGCAAAGTGTAAAAGTGCAACCAATAAGTCATTTAAAGTAATTTGTCATAAGTTTTAGTCATTGATTGTGTCATATGACAGATTGTGATCAATGAACAGGTACACTATTAATAAGCTTTGAAAATGATATTACGGTTAGATTTGAATGAAAGTTATGTAACAAATAGGAAAACTGAGTCTTATTTAGCATACGAGTAATCACTAGAAATGTTTGACACTATAAGTGACAAAACTGAGACCAAATGCAACATCATTTTCATGTCATATCATATGCCATACCATTGAAATGATTTGCTGATACTCTTGGTCCCAATTATTACTCTGATGCGAGCCATCCATTGTTAATAGGGTTAGCACCGGGTGTTGGACAGGGAGATGGTGACAGTCAGTGACAATGGAGGAATTTGTCAGTCACCACACAATTACAGTAATGGTAAACAGTTTTACAGTTTGAAGGGTTGTGTCACTCAACACGCAAACTAACAGATTATGCTTTCGTTACAGTTTATGTCAAATATAGACAAAAGTGTCAAATATTTCATGTACACTGTTACAATTATCGTAGATATTGTAGTCTTATAACTTACAAGACCTAACCGTATATAAAATTAGATATTTAAATAATTTTGTCCAAAACGTTTATAAATGAATACAATGTTTATTTAAATCAATAAAAGCTTTAAATAAATCTCAACAAATATATGGATCTAAAATATAATATAAGTTATAACACTATTAGGGAGACACTACTGTATTACAGCGAAATCTCTACTTTTGACTAAATATTTTTTGAAAACTTTCAAATAAACAGAAAATATTTAAATTAAATAAATTAATAATTAAATAAAAAATTAATGAACAAAACTTTTTTGTACAGAACATATTCAAAAACCTCACTAAATGTAAAGTTTTTCAACTAGATATAACATTTATATAAAATAATTGTCGTTTATTTTTATGGTCTACCATTGATTTAACAAGTTATTAAAGTTTCTAAAGTATATTTTACACATTAAATTTTATGTCTAACTTTTCAGTACAGATAGTTTTCATCTTTATAATATTTATAACTATTTATTAACTACTGTAAATATCAATACAAGGTTTTATTAGTTTAATATTTATTTAGTAAATTTTACTATAGTTGTTAACTACATTTTATGAGTTAATTTCAATTACAAAGTAAAGATTTAGAAATTAAAACTTATAATTTATTTAACTTTATAAAGAAACAAGAGTACTAGCATACAGTAGTACACTAAACAAAAGGGTTAACTGTAAGAAATGTACAATTGTCTCAATTAATTAATTTTAAAGTGTTACTAATTTAGAATAATCTAAATGGGGGCATTGCATTTGGGGGCAATGGGGGCGTAAATGGTGAATATAATAATGTAGTAATGGTTGCACGTAATGGTTGTGTGTGTTGGGCAATACATATGCACTGTATGTGTGATTGTATTGCATAAGACAACGTGACTATTGCCTGATTCAAGCAAATCTGGTGACAATCTATTCAATCATTTATCTGAGTCTCCAATTGAGTCACACTTTGTATTTGTCGGCTATTATTGTGCTCTCAATTCACTGCTAATTGACACAAATTGAGTGTCCATTTCATGCAAATGGTGTGAAAGCATACAAAATGTTTTCATCAGTCATATGTTGACATTTGTATGGATATTGCATTTGTTTATACTATAGATTGTGTGAAATGAGTGCTAAATAGTCACTAATTCAGTGTCTATTCAGAGGTTTGATTGCATTTGTAGTGACATTGAAGTTGACTGAAGAAGCGTTTGAATCTTGACGGTGGTCACAATGGATGGCATTGACTCCAATAGAGTCGGAATGTTAACCATTGAGTGGGAAATGATGAATAAGAAGCGATTCTTCATCCTTTCGGCCATCAATTCTCTGGGTCTCAGGTGTGTCTTATATCCACTGACTGTCATCAAAACACGTCTTCAGGTACTGTACACCACATCACCACTCTATCACGCACGAGTTAACACCATTGTGTCCAACAGGTTCAAAGACACGGACAGATGTACAGAGGTATTGACTAATTGGTGCCAAATATTGACTGTTTTTAAGTGTGAATTGCATTGAATTTAAGGTACTTTTGATGCCTTCAGAAGTATCATCAAAACCGAAGGCTTTTCTGGTCTTTACAAAGGTTTGCGATTCAGTAATACTTAACCGGAAAATGAATTTCTAAAATAATTGCTCTCTTTGATAGGCTTTTGGATCAATTCAGTTCAAGTGGTTTCTGGTATTTAAGACAAATTGCTTGAAATGACATTTTGAGTTGAGATTTATATGATTTAATTGCGATATTCAAGGAATCGGTTATATCTTAACGTATGAGAAGGTTAGGGATATTCTCTCCAAGAATGACATTCACGACAGTCGTCTCAAAGGACTGATCGCCGGAGGTATTTGTCTATAGATTTCGTCAATCCAATGATATTGATGTGATTTTTACAGGCTGTGGCTCTTTAGTCAGTCAAACGATTATTTGTGAGTCTTTTCAGACAATTGGTGATTGAATTGAACAGATATCTGATCCTTATATTCATTGATCTGAAGGTCCATTCGATGTGATATCACAGCATCTGATGCTCTTAGGAAGCGGTCAAAAGAGCAAAACGTCTCAAACGGCCCCTAATATACCGAAATTACAATTAGAAACTAATCGACAGAAAGGGTTCGGCGCCGCCCGACAGGTCATCAAAGAGCTCTATAGGATTGACGGCGGACTCAAAGTATTGATTGCTTTCATTTACATTTAGTGCCCATTTTTATCTAATTGTCCGCATATTTATAGGCCTACTATAGGGGATACTTTTCATCGGTTGCCACATATGTGCCCAGTAGTGCCCTTTGGTGGATGTTTTACCCCATATTTTCCAGTTAATAACCCGATAAATAATATGAAATTGTGTTTTAGTGAGCGCTAATTGTGATGATTGTATTGCAGATACTTTGATACCACTATTCCCTGAGAATACGCCTCATATGTTAATTCAATGCGTTTCCGGATCTATATCTGGAATGACAGTCGCGGGTCTGATTGATTGCATTGTAATGATTGTCTGAATACAACTTAATATTGATATCAATCACAGTCGTAACGAATCCAATGGATGTGTTGAGGGCTAATATTCAGGTGCGAAGAATCGGTTCATTCGTATTCGCAATGAAACAACTCTGGGCTGAAGAGCAGTTCAATGTATTCAAGAAGGGTCTGTCCGCACGACTCACTCAGAGCTGTATATCATCTGCTTTTATAGTCGCAGGATATGAGACACTTAAACGGTATTTAACATATAATTCCCCAAATATTTGTAAAACTATTTCATGTATTCATCTTTAGACTAAGCCTTAGAGAAGAATATAGAGATTCAGTCAAATGGTAACAATAAATGGCAAACACTAGTCATTACTTTAGCAAATTGACTCATTTTGTGATAAAATACGTGTTTTTTGTAATATATTTAAAGATTTTAATACAAATATTAATACTTATATTATATTTTAGATCCATATATTTGTTGAGATTTATTTAAAGCTTTTATTGATTTAAATAAACATTGTATTCATTTATAAACGTTTTGGACAAAATTATTTAAATATCTAATTTTATATAC